TTGGCCTCCGTCGTTCAGGATGGCGTTCTCGCCCCAGCGCGGGCCTTTTTCTCGCGCGCCCATCCGCCCGCCACCACCGCGCCGCACCGCCACCACCACCACCACCACCACCACCACCACCACCACCACCACCACCACCACCACCACCACCACCACCACCACCACCACCACCACCACAACCACCACCAGCACCACCACCACACCACCACCAGCACCACCCACCCACCACCACACCACACCACACCACCACCACCACCACCACCACCACCACCACCACCACCACCACCACACCACCACGCACACACGCACGCACGCACGCACGCACGTGCACCACCACCCACTACGCACGCGCGCGCGGAGCCACAGGTCCGCTACGACACGCGTCCGCGGATAGAGAAAATCAGCGCCATGGTAAGGGATGGGAGGGAGGGGTAGGACGTCAGATATGACGCGAGCGCACCTAGCTTGTCCTCTCCTCCTCCTCCTCCTCCTCCTCCTCCTCCTCCTCCTCCTCCTCCTCCCCTCCCCCCCCTCCCCCTGCTCCTCCCCCTCCCCCTCCTCCTCCCCCTCCTCCTCCCCCTCCCCCTCCTCCTCCTCCTCCTCCTCCTCCTCCTCCTCCTCCTCCTCCTCCTCCTCCTCCTCCTTCCCCGCAGCGCGCACGCGCGCGTCGCTCGGGCGCTGCCAAGGGGGGGCGATGCATGGGGGGTTGGGGCGAAGAAACGCGCAACCTTCGTGCTCCTGGTGGGCCCAGGGGCCCCTCTCTAGGGCCCACAAAAGGGCACGCCGGTGGCACTTTGTTCTTCGCCCCCCCCAGCTGTCCCCCCCCCCATCGTGCAACGCCCGAGCCGCTGGTCCCCCAGAGGCGCCTGGGAGTTGCCGCCGATCGTGTCCACAGTTTGGGCGGTTGTGGTCTTTGCGTCGGGCGCGGCGTGTTTTTCGTGGCCTGGTGTGGCTGGGGCTGGCCGTTGTCGGCGTATGCGTTATTTCTAACGTGGTATGGTATGGTAGCGTCACGTGTGGGGAATTCCCCTCGACGCCCAATGCTCTACAGTACCAAGATTAAGCAAAGTAAGAAGTTACGCCGGACAGGAAGGAAGAGGAGGAACAGGGGGAATAATCAGACAACGATGAAATCGGTACTTCTCTCTCTCTGCTACATCATGGCGTTCATCCATTCGCGCGGGTGCGATTCCCAATCCAATATGTTGAATGCCACTTCTCGCCAGTCGAGCCCCTTCGCCCAGAAGTATTTGCTGAACGTATAATACTCCCACGTCCAAGGCGGGGTTCGGCTTTGGTGTCCATGGTGCCCGAAAATATCTCGCGTGCTCCGTCGCCACTTCGCATCCCTGAAGCGCACAAAACGATATGGCGAGCATGCTGTGTCTCTGTCGCCTCCCCGAACGGCATGGCCCGCGTATCCGCAAATTCTGCGCAACATGTACTAATCCAACAATCGAGCAATTGTTTGTGTCACGGCGACTCCAATAACTATTCTTATGGTGTGCGTGCGTGCGTGCGTGTGCGTTTTTGGGCTATGGTCTGTGATATAATACGCGCGTGCGTACACATAGTACTGGCCCAGGCAGTCCCATTACGGGAAGGGCGTAAAACTGCCGCCCATGGGACATGGCACATGCACAGCCAACGCCACCCGGGCGGGTGTTCAGCAGGCGGTGACTAGGGATGATGCAGAAATCTACGTTTCCCTAACACTGTCCTGTAACGTCCCACGCTTCCTGGCGCTCTCCTGCCGGCTTCGTGTTACCTTCCTGCGCGCTGCCAAAGTTCGGTGACGCGCGTGTGGGGGGGGGAAGTGGGAGTGCGCAGGCCTTCACAGAAGGGGTCGGTGCTCCTCAGAAGCCCTGCAGCCTTATCAGAAACCGTCTCTGCCGTCGGGGAAGGCTGAAGAAACTTGTCACAATCCCTTAACAAATATTCAAGAATGGTAGAACAAAAATCGTCCCCAGACCATTTTGGTACTATTTTTGAACATTCCCCCTGTGGAGGGACAGGCGACGCCTCCTGCAGAGCCATCGGGGACCGGCCCGGGCCTCCCCCCCCCGCGGCGCAGCCCGGCCGCGAGCCATCTCTGGGAGCCCGCCCGGGCACGCCTGGGGTCGCCACGGCCCGCCGGCTCGCCCCGGCCCGCCTGGCCCAGGCTCGCGAGGCGGGTCGGCCGCAGGCGCCGAAAGAAGCGACCCCAGAGATCCAACGTATTGAAAAAATCAAGACACAGGTTTTTCGCACATTTCGGCCCCTCGGGGCCCTCGCCGGGCCTCGGGACCGTCAAAAAACGACTCAGGATGAAAACTCCGTCCTGGGGAATGGCTCGAGACTTCCGGGGACCGCGTATTGAAAAAATCACGACATCGGATCTCTGGGACCTTGCGAGGAAAATGCGCAGAGTGGTCGTCTTATCCTCGCGCACCTCGGCGAGAGCATCAAGTCCAGTGCAAATCAGTCCTGCAGTCCATCCCCCACTCGAGGGGCGGGGGCTGCAGGCGCTGAGGCGGGTCGGCCGCAGGCGCCGGAGCGACTCTACGACAAACACGTAGAGTGCGCCCGTCCGATCGGGCCCGCGCCGCCCTCCCGGCGCGGCGGCGCCGGGAGGGTGGCGCGGGCCCCATCGGGCGGGCGCAGACTTTCATACCGCGGGCCTGCGCGCACCCGCGCGCGGCCCCTGCCGCGAGCGGCGCTCGGCTTGTCTTGGCATCGCTCGGGCGTGTGCATGTTTTGGTCGGCGAGGAGCATCGAGGAGCGTTGTGGGTCACCTAAGGAAAAAAGACACGCACGAGGCCGAAAAATGCATAGGGGATGGACGTCCGAGGGATGATGAGTCACAGGAGTCAGCCAGAGCGCCAGATCTTGCAGGATCCTGCAGGGCCAGGGTCGCGCTGACCAGGTTTGGGCGCAGGGTCCTGCATGATCCTGCAGGATTTTTCGCATTGGCCCGGGTTTGGGTGCAGGATCTTGCAGGAAATATGGGAATTAATTGTCGATTAATCGTCGATTCCCAAGAAAATATAGGAGAATATGGGAAGTGGGGGGGAAGACGAAAACCCCAAAGATATAGGAACATATGGGGAATATTTTGATTTGCGTGTATTTCTGTGTGTGTGTGTGTGTCCTGGGGCCGCTTCAATCTTGCAGGATTCTGCAAGGCCTGGCTGACCCGGGTCTGGACTGACCCGGGTCAGAAGATCCCCGAGGCCTGTGGGCGGCGACGGCCGAGCTCGCCGTGGGGAGGAGCGCCGCCGAGGGGGATGCCCACGGCCCACAGGTGCTCGCGTTATCACCACCCACCAAACCACCCCAACCCAACCCGAAGGCCTCAATTTGCCCTCCATTTCCAGTTGGGGGGGGTCTGGGAACGTCGAAAAAACACATGTGGAACCCTTACCCCCCCCAACCCGAAATTCGGGTCTTCGGGTTGGGTTGGGGTGGTCTGGTAGGTAGTCATGTTAGGTCGGGCGTGTCCCCCTACAGGCGGATATTGGACGAAAACTAACACATACCAAACATGCTGAAAAATATGTAAGATATCATCCCCCGATTATGCTTTCAAATTCATTTTTGAGTATTGCTCCTGTAGAGGGACAGGCCCGACTTGCTGCTCGCGTCGTGGAGGGAGCCCTGAGGTCCTGGCGTTGCCATTTTGTTCACCACGGGCGCTGTCGCTCCAGTTCGGGCCCCGGAGCCCTCATGGATGGATCTGGCTCAAAACATGACGCAGAAAGGTGGGGCCCAGGGCTCCGGTCATTCCCCAATCAGAGCTTGCCTCTGTAGGGGTCCTAGCGGATCCATGTGGTTAGGTTAGGTTTGTCGCCGATTTTCGCTGCACGCCCGGTTGCCCGGTGCCCAGGGGTGCCCGGGTGCCCGGGGGGTGCCTGGGGGTGCCCGGGTGCATGCCCGGGTGCCCGGGTGCCTGGGCTTGCCCGGGGGTGCACTATAGCCCTATAGCCCAATAGCCCTATAGCCCTATAGCCCTACAACTCTATAGCCTCTAGCTCTATAGCCCTATAGCTCTATAGCCCTATAGCTCAATAGCCCTTCAGCCCTATAGCCCCCTAGCCCTATAGCCCTGATTGTTTTTTTCTCCGGTATCATGATTTTTTGTGATGTCGCAGATGTTCTGCAACGTCGGATCGCAGGGGAGGCAGGGCGTTTCTTTTTAGTGTTGACGATTTCGGCCTCCAGGAGCCCTCGCTGGGCCTCGGAGCCGTCACCGAACGATTGGGGATGAAAGGCTGGCCCCAGGGAACAGGGCTGGGGGCGCCCGGACTGAAGAAATCGGGGCAGTCGGCGGCGAGATCCGAACCATACCTTCGCCAGTCAACCATTCAGGCAACTCGATGGGCGGCGGGGGTAGGGTTCGGAATTCGTCGGGCACGTGGCGACATCCGAGCCTCACCCCCGCCTCCCACCGATTCTGGAGGATCGATGGCTGGTGGGGGTAGAGTTCGGACGTAGCCACCTACAGCTCCATCTCTTTCCTTGCGATGTGATGGCAGCGGCGTCAAAACACACGATGTGTTCACGCGTGTTTTTCGGGCTCGCCACCCGAGAACTGCTCAAGTGGGCGCACAGACCGCCGTGGCTGCGCGCGGTCCTGGGGCGTGGATGCCTCCGTCCCCCTCCTGGTCATGGTTTCCCTCCTTCTCCCGTCTCTGCCCCTCCTCCTCTCCATGCTGCTTCCACTCCTCCTCCTCCTCCTCCTCCTCCTCCTCCTCCTCCTCCTCCTCCTCCTCCTCCTCCTCCTCCTCGTCTCCTCCTCGTCTCCTCCTCCTTCTCCTCCTCCTCCTCCTCCTCTCTCCTCCTCCTCCTCCTACCCCACATCCGTTACATTCCCCCTCCGCCTTTTGCTCGTTTTCTTCTGCATATCATCAGAATTATCAAACCCATCGTTCTTCATCATCGGCGTCATAATGCTCCACATCGTCACTCCCCACTCCCACTGTTTCTTTCTAGTGTTTCATTGTTTTTTATTTGCCCCGCAGCTTGTCGATGGCATGGTGGCCGCGCTGTCGGAGCTCCAGCAGGGGACCCGCTCGCGCACCCTCATAAGCGCGCTTGGCCAAGGGGCAGTCCTGCTTCGACAGCGAATGCGCGAGGAAGAGCAGGAGGAGGAGGAGGAGCAGCAGCAGCAGCAGCATGATCAGGAAGAGGAGCAAGAGGAACGTAACGGCACGGCCACGCAGCTGCAATGTGCTTGGAATCGCTACCGACTTGCACGCGTGTTTTTCTGTTTTTTTTTTTGTGTGTGTGTGTGGCCCAGGCCCCACTTGCGTTCCACAGCTGAAGCTTGATCGCAGTCGGCCTGCTCGAATCGAACCCTCCCTCCCCGATCGGCGACTATAAATCGGCATCCCCCCAACATACTTATACTATGTGTTCGTCGCCCCCCCAGGGGCGACGCGCGCACCGAGAAATCTTATAGTACATGCGTCGTGGCGGGCGCTTTCTGGCCACACCGCTCGGGAAACGATATACTACAAGACGGGTATACTATATGTTCGGGTCGGACGCGCGCCTCCAAGGAGGACATATAGTATTAGTATGTCCATGTGCGTCCCAATAAAGGGTATGGTTGCGCTGGGGTGTATTTTGCGATCGGCAACGTGGCGGCCTGGGGGGCCTGCCCTCGTCGGGGCGCGGTGGAGAGCTCCGTCGAGGTCCCTGCCCGCCCTCCAGGGTGTCCCCCAGGGTGCCGGTTGCAAACCACACCCTTAGCAGACCGCACCCTTCGGAGTCGCCGATCCTATGCCTCAGCTCTCGTGCGGGCGGGAACCAGAACTCGCGTCATCCATGTCCGATTCCTTCCGAGCCCCGTAAAAAAAACTTTCGCGCAGGCACTGCTCAGTAGATGAGAATCACAGGACGCAGAACAGGACAGCCAGGGCCACGGCCAACTCCTCCCCGGGGGCGGACTGCCTGTGCAGGGCAGAGGGCGAGGCGGCGCTGGCAGCATGTTTCAGCCAATAACACCCCTTGTGCCTCCGGCCCCCTACACCCTGCCAGGCCCCGACTCCCCCATCGCCCCAAACTAGACAAGAACATCACTCAAAAGACAGTTGCTTGTACAAATTCTGCCTCTCACGGTGCACCGCCCCAATAGGTCCTACGCCAAGCAGCCAAGGACCAGTACGGGCCCACCACCAGGGGCAGACGTGGGGCGGTGCAACGCCAAGGTGCAGCGTCCCAAGCCAGGGTGCAAATTCTAATCAAGAAATATCAAGTGGCCTCGGAGAAACAGAATCTGAACAGACTGTTGCACCCTGACCTTAGGACCATCAACTCGCCAGTACGCATTCGCAACATGGTGACCGCGACTCTGAGCGGTCATGAGCCAGCCACCATCTCAGCAGCAGCGACCGCAGCGCGTACAGAAAGGCTGGCGAACGCCAGCGACCGTGCTAGCATTCGTACGAATCCGTATTGGCACGCTCCCGAATGGAGATGCGTCCCCTCAGCATGCACTCGATGATCGCAGCGGCATCCATTCCGCTGCCTCTCGAGCTCCAGGTGCATCACTGAATGGTCGAGGCCACCATTGTAGCATGGCGGTCAGAGGTACCCAGCATGCAGAAATCAACCTGCTCAGAAACCATCCTACCATCGATCGCCTCTACAACTTCTCCAACCACCGGCGACACCACCCTTCTTTATCAGCAACATTGTGCGCTGGGACACCAGTAGCAAGCGCCACCCCCATCAGCAACATCGTCTGCCTCAGCTGCGCACTCTCGTTAGCCATTTTTTCGCCTGGCATCTCCAAGTAGACTGATACCCCATGGCTGAGTGTTAGACCGACATGGTGCACCAACGTTCTGCCTGCCGTCGAAGCTGCACCAAGTCTGAGTTGATGGGGAGAGTTTCGGGCCACAGACTTCACCGTCAACCATCGCCGCAATCAAACCATGCAACTGCGTCTGAGTAAGGGGCCTCAACTCGCCATCACCGTCTTCAGCATCGAAGTTCGCCGCGCTGAGATTTATCCCAAGAATCGTATTCAACCAACTGCCAAGATCCCGCGGACCGTGCCATAGGGAAGAAACCTAGTAGAATGAAGTAGCCGTACCCAACCGCCGATGTCTGAAAACAGGTGGCACGCAAGGTTCAGCTTCAACGTGCGCCTCGGGGGGGGCCAAGGCGGCTGCCGTGGTTCACCTTGTCCTCCTTGCTGCCCCGCGCGAACAGCCTTCTGAAGTGCCTGCCGGTAGTTGTGGCCCTTGAGTACCAATTGCCGCTATCTCGCTCTCTCTCTCTCTCTCTCGCTCTCTCTCTGAAGATCATGCTTCCTCAGGCCATCTGCTGCCTCCACAGATAGATGGTCAACGTGCCTCTTGAGCCACAGCAGGCACTTATTGCCAGGGCGACGTAGATGTCGCAACAGACTGGGCCGATCCGCAAGCCTGATTCCACAGGCGCGACAGAGAGCATCACGCGCGAGCCTCCGCTCGATGTCAACGTCGCGCTTGCTCCGTGCCGATGCAAACTTCGCATTCCATGCACAGGTGCAGCGCCAGTGCCGCATCTTTGCGGCCGCGACCGAACCCGCGGCTGCCCGCGCCCGCTGGAGCTCGTTTCCCCGGGCCGGCGTCCGCAGCCGCTCCAGGTCCTCCTCCTCCTCCTCCTCCTCCTCCTCTTGCCTCTTGCCTGCCTTGGGGGATGAGTCCATTGAGGTACCCCTCTAGAGAAAGAAAAACTTGGGCCACCTCCATCCACATTTGTCACCTCAGGAACCAGGGGCGATATCTGGAACCTGAGGCCGCGACAGGAGGTGGACCCAGGCTTCTGATCATTCAGGCCAAGCCTTAAGATCAGCAGGAAGTTTCCCAGCCATCAGAGCCCTCCCCACCCTCCTCCCATGGTCTGTGAGGCCAGGTACACACGTTCGCCCCAATTTCAGCAATTTGCCTCTTGAGGGAACCCCTGACCCTCCACAGAGCTGGCACCAATACACGCCCCTGTAAGCTTCCAGCTTATGGGAGGGGTGGATGGTGGTGGGCTGGCCTGGGCAGGGCGACCGAAGGAAAGCCTCTCGCTCGCTCCACCGGACTGATTCACACAGTGCAGCGCCAGGAAACTCGCGCCCTCTGCTCCACGACGTGAGACGACTGAGAGACGAGGAGGGCCAGCTGCGATTCCTTTTCCTGACGCAAAGCCGCAAGGGAAACCTTAGCCTCCTCCTGGCGGTTGCCCTTAGACGCTGCTCCGTAAAGGTTGGGGGCCTGCTGAACTAGGGCCATAGACGCCGCCAAGAGGGAGTCGAGAACTTTGCGACACAAAGTATCAGATTCTGCTACTTGTCGCCTTGCATGAAACGGGATCTGGGCCATCTCAGCTCCTTTCTCTGCTGCCTTATCTGCCAGACGATTTGCCTGCCAGTGGACTGGGTCGAAGCCTAGGGTGACTGCATCCTCGTGAGAAAGGTGAGATCGGATCTTGTGCACTGTGATCGGACGAACACCAACTGCGCGCCAGAGGTCCTTCCACATCGAGATCATCTTTTTGTTCCTGAAACGGGGCCCTGCACGAATTCCCCGCACGACACCATCATTATCTATCGCGCACTCTATGGGGCCTGCGGTGAGCTGGGCCGCGCGAGTGATAGCGTGCAGTTCAGCTGCAGGCACTGTCTGGTTATCACACGGCAGAGGGCCAAGCCCCCGCGCTATGCGTCGGGCGCCTCGCAGGATGGCAAAGCCCCAGCCGCGTCTCCTCAGCCGGGGATCCGAACCCTCCTCACCCCCCGCCCCGTCCGACCCGATCACACACCCCTGATCAAGCGCATAAGGATTAGCCTCGAGCTGGTCCGAGAGCTTCTCTTCCCCCTGGAGCGGGACACACGCGCACGCTGGTGCGTCCAGGCCAGGGGAGGCAGACCTCGGAGCCAGAAAGACGGGGCGTCTCCTGACTCAGCTTCCGCCTGCCTCCTCAGGGACGCGTTGAAACCTGGGATGGGGCCATTCAGAGGACAACTCCAGAGCTGGTGGAGAAGGGTCTCTTGAGGCGCTCCACACCGAGGGCAAGAAGGAGATGACCAGACAGGGCCGGGCCCAAGGATGGGCTCGTCATCGCACAAGCCACAGTGCAAGTCCTCTTGAAATTGCAATTCGTCTGCTGCGTGCGACGCCTCATCTAGCATCGCATCGAAATCACATTCTTCCTCGTCTAAGCCAAGCGATGTTCGCGGAGGATCGGATGGGGGGGGGGCTCCATCGGGGGCCTGGGGCCTCGGGAAAGGTCTCCTAGCCTCATCCCCAAAACGCCGCGAGGCGGGCCACAGGGCCCCCGACAAAACCATTTCTAAAACTCCAGCCTTGTCGTAGGCTCCCGAGGCTCTAAGTTTGTTCAACCTCCGAAGCGGCACAAACATGTCAGCTCGACCTGCCAAACTGTTGCCATGATACTGTTCGCTGGCTTTTTTCCATGCCAGAACATCGCCTCCAGCAAGTCAACCGTGAGACGTTCTGGGTCACAGGCGAGCACATGGAAAACCTCACCATCCGTTCCATTCCAGGTGGTGGGATCCTGCGGCATCCAGCCTGCTTCCAGCAGGCAGGCAACAGTGGCGGCCACAAAGCCTGACACTCGCTTCCAGCGGGTGGCAGGGTCCTGCAGTCGGGCTAGCTCTTGTCCCCACGCTTTGCGGAGACCATGCTGGTTGGCCTCCTGCAGGCTCGGAAGCAAGTGAATCCACTCCTACAAAACTCGCATTCTGGTCGAGATCATGGGGTCATGGCGGGGGGCCTGGAAAGCACAACGCAGAACCGTGGTAGCACAACCCCCTTCTCTCCTCCCCACCATGCCCGCCATGGCCGCTCTGGCCTTCAAGGCCAGGGTCGGACTCACTCCTTGGGCCTCAAGGCCCCAAAGAGCCTGGGCTGTCCACCCAGTCCGTGCTAACATCCTACAGCGACGGCCAGTCTTCGCCCGATGGCTGGCTGACTGGAACCGCTGCTTGGGTACTGCTGCTGAGCGTCTCACCCCTACAGTGCCAATGCCAAGGTCATCGCCCGTTGCGCCCCCCTTCAGCGA